AAATAAATAAGACAAAATAAATGCGTATGAAAAATAAATAAGGAAGAATAATAAATAATACTAAAGAAAATAATAACAAAGAAAAAATAAAAAAGATTTTACATAACATAGTGCCAAAAAAAATGTTTATATGCCCTATCCCAAAACATTAAACAATACTTATAAATATATAAAATTGGGAACCCCAATTTTGGATAAATAAAAAATAGAAAAATTTTTATTTTTTGCCATCTAAACTTTTTGTATTAAAATAGACTTCAACATCAATTAAAAAATAATGATAATTTTTTCAGTATTTTATGGGCGTCTTATCACATTAAAAGTCGAAAAAGTTAAAACAATAGAAAAAAATCGTTTACATCTGTAGATTTTTGCATTATAACATAGCACCTAAATTAATAAAGTCACCTCGACGCCTTGTACCTTAAAACATTCGTACTAGTTTCAGCTTTTATCTGATATAGAAAAAATCATAGAAAATGTAGGTCTAGCTTTGAGAAATTTTTGGCTGTAAGCTAATGTTATTAATTTTTGTTAATATGTAACAAACGTTTTTGTTTTACACTTTTAAGCTATTACATTTTAAAGAACTTTAATTTTTTATAACTATTTATTATTTGATTTAAAATTATACTGATAAAATAATTTGTTATTTTATTTTGTCATATATTCTTCATATATGTAATCCTTCGTACACTATCTGTATTCTATTACAATTATTTCAAAAATACCTATAAAGTTTAGTTTAACTAACCTCTCAGAAAAGAACAAAATATAGTATTTTTTAATATCATAAGCAATTTAGAAGAGTTAAGAAAAAATAGGGTTCTGTACTCCGCCTATATTTTATGCAAATAACTAACTCTAACTAAACGTTTTACGAATGAAGGGGTTTGTAGGTATATCTCTCGTTAAGGATTTGCTAATATCTAACGTGGGCAGAAACTCTCAGCTTTATAAAAAGTTTTATAATATTTTTCTTCTTCTCTATTTAACTATATATACAATTACTCTAATTAACTATATATACATTAGTGTTGTACATATTAATATTATTTTCTGATATATAATTTTTTAATTTAATTTTAATAAATTTTTTGTCCTTATTTTTTAAAAGTTCTTGTTTTTTTAATCTAGTACTTTACCAAAGGTATTTTAACCTTCATTTGACAAGTTAACATACATTAGGTTTCCATCAGTTGTCACCTTAAATAATGATTGCAGTGTTTTAAATCACTGGGAGTCTAGAACTCTGTTATCTTCTATTCTATTATTTTTAAAGATTACTTAATTTTAAATAATTTTTTCTTTGAATTTATAAAACATACTTCCGTTTTAATTAAAATATAATCTTTAGTTTTCTTATATTAAAAAGATTAATGCATTTCAAGTTACCACCGGGCAATCAAGAAAAATATTTGCACATGTATTTCTATTTTAAAAAACCATAAAACACTGATATCTGCACAAAATATCAATAAATTTATTCAATTCATAGATAATTTTAACGAATTTTTTACTTTTTTAGTTCATATTTTTCGAGCTCTCATAGATTGAAGAACGTCAGCATATCTATCTGCAGTCTAAAATTAATTCTATTGCTGATAAAAATTATCAGTAGAAATGTTTTTATATAAAAAAAATCAAAAAAAAACACCAACAGCCAGCCACATGCTGTACAAATTGATTTCTATGCGTCCCCCTCTCTCTTCCCCACTTATTAACTACCGACATTTTTAAATGCAACTTGTTGATATGTATTTTATTTCGAAAAGAAGAAAACAGAAAGAAGTTGAAACGTGTCAACGACTTCTCGAACCTGTTGATTGTGGCTGATATCAAAAAATAGGTTACAGTTCGGTTCAGATATTTATGGTAAAAAAAAAAAAAATTAATAACATTTAAATAAATTTGGAATTTTAAAATTTTTTTAAATATTATTAAATAATTATATGTCCTCCCAACTACACTAATTTCCCTTAAAAATGTAATAGATCTGTACAGTTTTATTTATTTGTGTAGTAGGTGTGTGTGTGTGCCCTTTTGTCATGGCTTTTATTCAGGAAATTTATTTATGCCCAAAATAAGGCAATTTTACAGTGAAAACTGGTTTTAAAAATTATTGTGGGCTTACACACTACACTACACTGCATTCTCATTTTCTTTAGAATTTAATTTATTAAAGAAATCTATTGTTGTTGTTGTTGTTGTTGTTGTGACATAGGAAAACATTTTGTATATTGAATTTATTTTATTTTATTTTATTTATCCAACAATTACCCGACCGTCGCTCCCAAATTGTTGTTGCAGTGCAGTAGTGTGTGCTTGCATGTGCTCGTATGCATGTATTTAAATCGTGTTTTCTTAGGTACACTGAGAAAACACTGCTGAGTTGCGTGCTTGAGCCCAAAGCCTCACTATTCTCCGTGTTTTCTTCAATGTAATTTGTGCTGTGTGTGCAACTGATTATATTTCGCTTCCATCAATTAACCGTTTATTGTTGTTATTTTGCTAGTTTATCATTTATCATTTGGCACTTACTCGTACATTTATTTTTGGGTAATTATTTTCTTGAATGTACCTTTTTAACCTTTTTGTCTGTAATTATTTTTTTTTGTGTTTTTATTTTACACTTGCATAATTTTGGTAAAAGCCACGTTAACGTTAACTTCACGCTTTCATTGGATAATTTTTTTCAAGCTGCTTGAGTTTTATTGGTCTTTCTTCCATGGCGATTATGTAAAATTGTTAGCAGCTATAATAACTCATAAAAAATTTTAATATTATTGCAGTTTGTAATTTACAAGATTTGTTATATAGTATTTACAATTAATCAAGACTTGAAAAATTTGGAAACTAAAGCTAAATTAATGAGTGTGAAAAATTGTTTAATAGAAATATGTTATGTTGTATTGTTATCCCTAATCATCTGTTCACCATCCATGAGAAAGTGAAAATTACAACTAAAGTAGTGAATACCACAAGTAGAGTAGTGAATACCACAACTAGAGTAGTGAATACCACAAGTAGAGTAGTGAATACCACAAGTAGAGTAGTGAATACCACAATTAGAGTAGTGAATACCACAAAATCACTATTGGGAGAAAAGACTTAAACCATCATATATTGATGTGTTAAACCAGAATTGTCCAAAGTACGGCCGTGGGCCGTATATTAATGTTTTTGCGGCCCACGACATATTTTTAATCTACTATAATTACTCAAAATTTCTTTTGGTGTGCTGGTAAAACTACATTATTTTATTTGTATGGTAGACCAAATAAATGAATTTAAATTTATAAATTATTAAAACTAAATTAAATATTATAACCGTATTTATAATGTTATAATGTATTTATAACAAATATGAATGTATATATTTGTTTCTGCGACCCTCTAATCTGTAAAGTGATTTGTATTGGCCCGCCATCGCATCTGGTCTGGACCGCAATGTGCTAAACAATTACTTGTCAAATATACTACCTGAACAGATACCAGCTTCGCATTGTGTTCTAATGCTATATCTAAACTCACTACAATTTTCAAAATTCTTAATATATTCTAACTTTTTCACTAACTAACTAACAAATTTTTATTCTTGTCTACGAATAAGAAAATAATACATATTCGATGTCAAACATAAAAATCATACCAAAGTTAAGTCAGTGTATAGGGGTAAATTCTTCCGCCTTGACCAAGGTTGCGTTCAATTAAAATCACACTCATTCTTAATCCACACTTGTTCCCAAAAAAACCCAACCTCTTTCACACTACCTTTATCTAACCATATGTATACTTAGTAGTAAAATCTTACATATTATCTATCTGCCATACATAGATCTGAACAGGTTTACGCTATATTTTAGTATCTACGCTTTGTACAATTAAGTAAGGTTATTATGTTCAAAAGTAATTACATACATATTGTTTATAAATTTTTCCTACTTACAAATATATATATATGTGTTAGTGAAAAAGGTATACCAAAAACTTTTGCAAATTCTAGTTAGTTTAGACGCACTTTCCTAAAAAAAAGACGCACGTCATTCAAATCTACCATGTTTCCATCAGTCTCACTTAGGCAGTTTAACTCATTACGGCCGCTAATGAGGCTAATATACCATACAAAGAGCTTTCATATAAATGCGTTCATTATAAATAAATCAACTAATTTAAGGCGAAAAGTGTGGAATGCAAGCTTTAAAAATAAATTCCTCACAGGGAAACTTACCAAGATTTGAAATATTTATCATTTGTTTTATTTGTGAAATATAAATAAACAAGCTATTTCACATGCATAAATCAACTTATGCCAATGGAAACGAAACTTTAATAAGTCGCAATGTATCTAATATCGTAAAATTATACCATTTGTATAAGAAAATATATATTTTCTCAAAATAATTTCCGATATAAAAATGTAATTATTGATGTTATATTTTATCTCATCCTTTGTCCTTTTTAAATCGTGATCCGGACAGACGGACGCAAGTAGAATATGTAATGTAACCATGTTAAGAAAGGAAATTATCCTCAAAATATCCTTATCAAAGGAAAGATCACCTGTTGACTTAAAATTAATTTCAAAGTAAATTTTTTTTTTCACATTGATGTAAATTGTAAATTATTTTAAACTTAATTTAATATTGTTTAAGTTTATTATTTAAAATTTAACGATTTATAAAATTACTTTATTAAATAAATAAATTAAAAACAAAATATTTCACAATTTAACTAAATTTTTTATAAAGACACTGCCGCCCTCTAGTGTACACAAATTGCTTTTAAAAGTTTTAAATTGTCGAACAGCTGTTCTCGCTCACAGTCGTTCACCATATTGGCTGTCAAACTAGACGGGCACGTGTTCGTTCGTTCTGTCTATTTTGATATTACTTAATTAACCTTATTGTACTTTTGACTATCGTCTGCTCAACGTGTTGGTCTTTTAGTGCATTTAGGAGGAAAACGTATATAAATTTTAATAATATTATTTTCAATAGGTGTTATCCGGTGATACTGTCGTTATCCGCGCTTCTAAAGGTGCACCACCACCAGAAAAGCAAATAACATTTTCTTACGTGGTTGCACCAAAATTGGCACGTCGTCCAGGTTCTGGCGGTGAAGAGTCAAAGGATGAACCATGGGCTTGGGATTCGAGGGAGGCCCTACGTAAAAAGTTAATCGGTGCCGAAGTGACTTTTAGCTATGAAAAACCCCAGAACTCAAATCGAGAATATGGATTTGTTTGGCTTGGAGATAAAGAAACCGGCGAGAATGTCGTTGAGACTATGGTGAAAGAAGGCTTAGTGACTGTACGTCGCGAAGGCCGTCAAACTCCTGAATCACTAAGTCTTATCGAATTAGAAGATCAAGCAAAGAGCGCCGGTCGTGGTAAGTGGTCATTTGCGGCACCAGTTGAAAAAATACGTCACATTAAGTGGACACAAGAGAATCCTGCGCATATGGTCGAAATCTATAATGGCAATCCTGTTAAAGCAATTATCGAACATGTACGTGATGGTTCCACAGTGCGTGCATTTCTACTGCCTGATTTCTATTACATTACCTTAATGATTTCGGGTATACGTTGCCCTGGTGTGAAGTTGGATGCTGAGGGCAAACCCGATCTAAGCGTGAAAATTCCATATGCCGATGAAGCACGTTTCTTTGTAGAATCACGTTTATTGCAAAGAGATGTAGAAATTCGTTTGGAATCCGTCAACAATGCTAACTTTATTGGCACAATTATACATCCCAAAGGAAACATTGCCGAAGCCCTCCTACGTGAAGGTTTAGCCAAATGCGTTGATTGGTCAATGGCAGTCATGAAAGGCGGTGAGTAAGATTTTTATTTTCCCTTCCACAATAATTGCATCACACAATTGAATTAAAGTAAAAATTTTTTTTGTGCTTTTATTCATTTCAAAACGATGCAAGAGTAAGCTGGACAGATTCAAGGTGTTGTTGCATCTTTTAACTTTGCATTAACATTAGTTATCATGTCCACAGTTACTCTCGAATACAAATTTGTTAAATATTTCGTATGCATTCCATTTGGAACATGAGTACCTTTTTGGGAAAACCTTATGTTTGTACTCTTGCTTTTCCAAATGTTGTGCTAAAACAAAGACGGACACCAAGATTTTGGGGTTATCAATTGGCAACAAAATCATTTCACCCCGTCAACATGTATTAGATGATAAATGAAATAAGACATTTTATAGTATGTTTTTATATATATAATAAATTTTTTTGTTTATATAGATATTTTGTTTTTATATATATATTATGTTTCTATATATATTATGTTTTTATATATAGATGTTTTTATATTACATGTTAATATATATATTTTATGTTAATATATATATAATATATTTTATTTTAATATATATATATAATATATTTTATTTTAATATATATATAATATAATTTATGTTAATATATATATAATATATTTTGTTTTAATATATATATATAATATAATTTATGTTAATATATATGTAATATATTTTATATATATAATATATTTTATATACATAATATATTTTATATACATAATATATTTTATATATATAATATAATTTATATATTATGTTTATATATATATATATTATCTGAATATATAGATAATATGTTCATATATATATAATTGTTGTACTTAACTAATATATTCTTTTGTTTTCTTCGTTAGGTGCTGATAAGCTACGTGCTGCTGAACGCATCGCTAAGGAGAAACGCCTACGTTTATGGCATGACTATCAATCAAGGGCTCCAACTTTCAAAGAGAAAGACTTTACTGGAAACGTTGTTGAAGTGTTTAACGGCGATGCCATTAACGTAAAACTGCCAAACGGTCAAATCAAGAAAGTTTTCTTCTCTTCCATAAGGCCACCACGCGATAACCGATCAGTTGTCGGAGCCGATGGTGAAGAAATTGTAAAAGCTCCACCACGTGGCAAAAATTATCGTCCCCTATATGAAATTCCTTCCATGTTCGAAGCACGTGAATTTCTTCGGAAAAAATTAATTGGCAAAAAGGTACAATGTAATCTGGATTATATTGCACCCGCACGCGATAATTTCCCCGAGAAATATTGTTACACTGTACTAATCGGTGGACAAAATGTAGCCGAAGCGCTCATATCTAAAGGTCTGGCCACCTGTGTGCGTTACCGTCAAGATGATGATCAACGTTCCTCTGCTTACGATCAATTGTTGGCTGCAGAAAGTCAAGCTATCAAGGGTTTGAAGGGTATGCATTGCAAGAAGGAGAGTGCGCCATTACGTATCAATGATCTAACTGTAGACCATTCCCGCATCAAAGTTCAATACCTGCCATCGTGGCAACGTGCTTTACGCACTGAGGGCATTGTCGAGTTTGTTGCCAGCGGTTCTCGTTTACGTCTATATGTGCCCAAGGATAGTTGCTTAGTAACATTCCTACTGGCTGGCATATCATGCCCACGTTCGTCACGTCCTGCATTAAATGGTATTCCCGCACAAGAAGGCGAACCCTTCGGTGACGAAGCTTTGGCTTTTACGAGGGATCGTGTGCTACAGCGAGATGTATCCGTGCATATTGATACCACTGATAAGGCCGGCTCCTCTGTCATTGGTTGGTTATGGACAGACACTAACGTTAACCTGTCGGTCGCTTTGGTTGAAGAAGGTCTAGCCGAGGTACACTTTAGCGCTGAAAAATCCGAATATTACCGACAGCTTAAAAACGCAGAAGATCGTGCGAAATCTGCAAAGAAAAACATTTGGGCTAACTATGTTGAACAGGTTGTCGAGGAGAAACCTATAGTTGCGGAAGAAGAAAAAGAGGACAAAGCACCTGTCGAGCGTAAAGTTAATTATGAAAATGTTATTGTTACCGAAATAACTGCAGACTTAACATTCTTTGTGCAAGGAGTTGACAACGGTGGAAAATTGGAAGCTCTAATGGCAAAATTGCATGCAGATCTACAGTCGAACCCGCCAATCACCGGTGCGTACACACCTAAGCGCGGTGATTTGTGTGCTGCTCAATTTTCTGCCGACAAGCAATGGTATCGCGCAAAGGTAGAACGTGTGCAAGGCCAGAGTGCTACCGTTTTGTACGTTGATTATGGCAACAAGGAGGTAAGTGTAGAAAAATGTTGCGTTGCATTTACTAGGCAAGTTCCTTAGATCCGTTTCCGTTTAAAAGCGAAGCGTTTGAGTCATAAACTTGCTAAAGAAATATTGCTTAAAAACTCTTATTAGCGGCGTTATCCATTGTTCAACGTTTGTTATGAACGTAAACTCAGTGGTCATGACACTTTCCACAATAAGTGGCGAATGCAATTGAAGCAATAGGAAGCGTTGAAACAATATTTTTTTGTTTCGCTGCGCTGATGGTTGTGGAGATGTAGGAGTTACAATAGTTGGACGGTAGACTGCTGAGGTTCAAACTGGTTACGTCGTTTCAGTTTTAAAGCAACAAAATTTCCTAATAATTAAAATTGTTTTTTTTCTGTTAACAAAAATATATTAATTCCATTTTATGCTTGCAGGTTGTACCGTTTAACAGGCTTGCTTCGCTACCACCCTCCTTTACAAGTGAAAAACCCTACGCAACCGAATACGCCCTTGCACTCGTTCAATTGCCCTCTGATAACGAAGACAAAGAAGAAGCTTTACGCGCCTTTGCAGAGGATGTTCTCAATCGTAAAGTACAGCTTAATATTGAGCTGAGGCCTGCTACCGGACCAGCACTAGTAACTGTACATGACCCAGCTACTAATGTTGATATTGGTAAACAATTGGTTGCTGATGGCCTGGTACTCGCTGAGAAACGTCGCGAACGCAAACTCAAGGAACTTGTTGAGCAATACAGGAATGCACAACAGGCAGCATTAACCGCCCATTTGGCCATTTGGAAGTACGGCGATATAACTCAAGATGACGCGCCTGAATTTAGCCGCTAAAATGAATTCGCCGTATGTAACAGCGAATTGGTTGTTTGTCTGCCACGTACCCGCCCTTCAGAAAATTTTAAACGTAATAAGTAAAATTTTTATTTACAAAAAAAAATCGTTCAAAAAAGTAAAACAAAACAAAAAAAGGAAAAAACTGCTCATAATTTAAATAAAATCTGCAAAAACAACAAACACAGCGCTACACAAACATATGGACACAAACACTCATCGTCGTTGTTAACCAATTTCTCAAAAAGCTTCCATTACGAAAACACAAAAGAAATAACGTAATATATATATATACATTAATATATATATTTTATAATAACTATATTCTTTTTCAAAATTAAATTTAATAACAAATATTAACTAAACGATTTGATGGAACATAATTTTTGCTGTATTTACAATTTTTTTTCTTCTAATTTTATGGTTTCATAGTGTTCAATTTTTTAACTTTGATTTAGTAAACTATTTGATATATATGTAGTAATATATACATTTCCCAATTTTATATATGTATTTTCTTTTGAATTGAAAACGTTTTTTTTTTTTTTTATATAAAAACAATTCATTTCGCAATGAATTATATGTTTAATATCGATTTATTATATAAAAATAAATGAATTAGAAATTATGTACGGGTAATTTTACAATATATATTATTGTTATTATTAGATAATGTTAGTATAATAACAGAGGTTAAATAATCTGCCCAAATAATAAATTGGTGCATGAGAACAATAAGGCCATTATAATGTTAGCAATAAATGTAGTATAAATTAGTATAGTATAGCACACATTGCATTTAGCTGGCAACCATCTTTATACAGATTCTGAAATGTAATCTTGTAAAATATCATAATCAACTGCTGTTCAAGCAATATCTCAGCACGCCACACAGATGGACATCATTATGTTTAGTAGAACAGTCTCTTCAAACTCAATAAATCCTACAAATAATGGGGAATCAAATTAAATTAAAAAAAAAGAGTAGACGTGAAAATTGCCCAGCAGTCGGTACTGCGGCCAGAAGAGACCTATTGTACCAGTTTCACTATTGATTAAACAAAGCCCCTTAAAGCTTTGTGAATAAAGTCTAGAACTAAATCTGGAGAAGAGTTCTTAATCTGTTCTGGTGACAGAAATTCTTTATGAAACAGGTTTCTTCTGTGCGTTATTAAAGCTGAACAGTCACAAAGAATGTGCATGGTCGTTTCCTCGTCTTCGAGGCATAATCTGCATTCCGAGTTAGCAGATAATTGTAGTTTATGAAGGTGATATTTCAGACCATAATGACCTGTAATGAAAGCTGTTATCAACCTTAAATTGGGGAAATGGGAAATCAAAGTAATTGTCATTAAATGAATAATGCAATACATTAAGAAGTTTTTTAATTTCAATAAAAATAAACTTATATAGGTTAGATTGTATTGAAGTGATGGCCTTGCGTACCAAAGCCAGTTTGAGTACAAGTAACGGGTGATTGTTATATCGCAAATTAAGGTTTTTCTATTTATATGCCAGATTAGAATGATTACGAAGAAAAGTTATAAAGATAAGCACTGTGATCTTTAAAAGATATAACTCACGCGTTCATTTAAAAGAGAACTAACCTGACAAGTCTATAAACTTGGTAATGTCACTAATTTGAAAAGAACACACATAGATTTATAAGTATTAGTCTTATTTAACTCTTGTTTTTCGCAAGAAAACTCAGAATCTAAACAAGAATACTTTTAAAGTAACTTTAACCCACAATATTTACGACTATTTTTAGCTTTGAATTTGAATATGGAATAATAATGGAGAAAATCCAATTAGGAAACTATCTATTGCTTTCTTTACACATAAGTTGGCTTTTAGCAGTAAATAGGGACTCCATTTCCAGCATTTCTTTTGTGCTATTTATTCTACAAGTCCGTATTGTCTTATTAAATGAAGGACGGATATTAAATGGGTAAACGGTATTTAAGGTACGCCAATTAAAAACCATATTATAAGAATCTAAAAAAGTGAACTACATACTACTTTTTTGAAAAAAAACGAATACCAATCCTACCTTAAGAAAAGATTTTAAGAATGGTCATATTTAGATTCTAGAATGAAATCTATCAACATGTTATGATACTTCTAAACATCGCACATATTTACTCATTACCTTTGACCAAAAATACGAAGTCGTGATACAATATACGTATTTATGCATCGCTGAAAAATAAATGTCCAACTTTGGAGTAGTATTTATCATAAAAATATATATATTATTATATATAATAATGCGTATACCGTATAATAGCTTTAAATAAATTTATTTCATAATAGAATGTGGAATAAATATTTTAAATAATATCGATTCCAACAATTAAAAGGCTATCAAAACGCTTGAATAGAATAGTATTAAACCAAAAACTCTAAATTTTGAAGATATTAGGACATTATTCTACAGATGGTTTAAAGAAGACATGAATTGCCATAGAAAGTGTAAGGTATTGTTGTAAATTACATGAATCTACTGATGTGGTTTCTTAAGGGTGTGGCAAACGGTACTTTGTCGTCGAATTTGACGAATGGCTCCCTGACATACTTTCCGCCATTCCTGGACGAAAGTAAAACTTGCTCTGCCAGTTGGTTATCAAATTCGTTGGTATATGCTTCCCTGAAGTAATAAATGATACAATTATTTCTTGAAGACCAAATCATTTAAAGCGCATAATGTTTATTAATATTAATAGTCTAATAAAAGCAAAAATAAAAAACAAAAACAATATTAACTATTTTTTTTTATCCTTCATTTTTTTCTGTTTGGAGTTATAAAGTTCTAGCATATTTATGTCATCAATTAATTCATCAATATTTAGATCTTTCGGTAAAGGAACTTTGTTCTGAAAATTTAATATATTAGTTTTATTTATAAAAAGGAAAATAAATATGACTTACATGGCGTTGTTTTAAGTTAGCAATTTGTTTTTCTACGTCGATTATGTTTTGTTTAATTTGTTCTTCAGACTTCAAACTCGTATCAACATTTGTAATGAATCTATATTAACACAACAAATATTTTAGAATACATAAAATATATTATAGAATTTGTTTTAAAAATATGAAGTTTACTTTTTTAATGTGGCAATTTCTGCATTCTGTTTAGCAATTTCAGCTTCTAGCTCCTTGATTTCACGGTTCCACATAGACACCAACATACCATTTTCGATTTGTTCCTTTTTCTTACAGTGATAATATTCCTTTAAGTGGGTCGGACTAATGTCGTTCAGGTTAGTAACTCTCTGCAGTTCAACGCATTCGTCAATCGATTCTAAAAGACTTTCGGGCAGATCACATATTTCCAAACCAAATTTTTTTAATTCGTTTTCATATTGTTGACCTGAAATACACATAAAACAAAAAAAAAACATAATTTTGTTGATTTTATGAATATTCCAAATAAACTTAAATATGAAACTTACGAAGTTTTGTTAATTCCTGCACCTCCTCCCTCAACTCCAAATCATCTGAAATTACAGAACAAATTCAAATATAACATTTTATTCCACACCCAATAATACAAAAAATCCAATTGCACACACCCATTTCTTTAAAATCACGAAAAAAAATCTAAAAATGTTTAAAATTTGTTTTTGTTTGCGGCCGACAATTATGTTTTGTACTGCAGCGCCTCTGTCGACAAAAAAGACTACTTAAATTAGTGCTACCAATGCACAAAATTTTAAATTATCTAGATTGCAAAGCTAATTGAACTTCGAACTTCTTCGAATTTATAAAACTTCCTAAAGAATGAGTTTTATACTATCAGGATTTCTGCTATCGTTTATAATCAAATACTTTTTAGACTTGGCCAACGTGAGCATGTTAAAGAGGGAGAGTAGTAAAAATGTATTTTCACAAACAACGATTATCGTGCAGCATACTGTGTATATATAGCTTATAACTGATATCCAATTCACGTGAAGAATTGACATTTAACTCCATTGTGTAAAATTATTCTATAGGGAGATGTATGTCAATTTTTCGTTGTAATGTAAGTATTTAATATTAATTCTGAAATTATCGGCGACTGTTATATAAAAATAAATTATTATATTAGAGCAAATTAAAAGTGTAAAAAATAAATACATACATATATTATATAGAATAGAATAGAGTATAGTCCTTTCTAGGAAACATTGATTTATTGTAATAAATATGTGTTATAATTAACACCAATACTGGCTGTTATAAATAATTGCAACTTATATGGCGTTTACACTGGCTCATTTCGACTGAGTAATTTGAAAGTGTTTACATTCATTGTAATTCATTTGTTCTCATTTCAAACAGCTGATTTTTCAAAATCAAAAAAATGTTAGTAATCGTTAAATATAACTTTAAACTACAATATAAACTGAAAACTTATTTTTAGTTTCGTTTGATTTATTTTTGGGAAGTAGAAGTTTCTAAAAGAGGTGCATCGTTTTCAAGGAAATGCAACCGTCAAACATTTGTTTACCTTTTTTTGTAAATATGTCAAAAACAGCTTTCTCAAACAGTCAAAATGCCATGGTTAACATTTATTTAGGGTATGTTCAATGTATTTATTTGCATTTGGAATATATTTGGAGCTCATTCTAATCTCTTTGGAACGCATTTATACAGAATGAGATACAATGGATCTCATTTGCGCTTGAGATTTTGTAAGTAAAAATGAGTCGAAACATTATATTTGCTTATTTCATTTATATGCTTAAAATTGTACATAAAGAAAGTAGAAAATGAATAAGAAAGCAGAAATAATTGTTTTTATGAATAAATCTAAAGTTTATGATGAATTAATTAAGAAATCATGTAGATTATATTACTTACATGAAACCAGGCAGCGATTGGTTGAACTGAAAAGGAAAATAATTCGTTGACAAGTATAACAAATGTCAAAAAGAACTTTTGATGTAAAGAAGGTTTGTTTAGTACTTACATCGTGTATATTTAGTATATATAGTTTTTAATATATTCAAATAGTATGCTTCGTTTTAATGACAGAAGATTTGGTATTGAAATAAATAGTGAAAATATGATCACGCGTTCGTATATATTCATTAACGTTGACTGAATAATGAATAAAAGTTTCAATAGCTTTTATTGTTTACTAATTTATAAAAATTTCTTAAAGGAATATTTAACAATAGGCATCACGTTTTTGAAAGGTATTGGTAGCACTGTTTTTATATCATTTTTTTTTCTTTTTTGTTGTGCTATGCACATTCTAACACATATTATGGAAGAGTTCATTATTTTTATCAATGTAATTAGATAATAAAAGCTTATCAATAAGACAGGTTAACGATGCGACGAGCGGCAGTGATTTTGCAAAATATATCTAAACCAAAAAATGTGAATGAACTGTGCCATAAAGTTTTATGTGCCAATGTACGCAGGGAATTCTCTACCAACTATAGTCACAGGTGGCCCAACGTGCAGGTGGAATGGGCAGCTAAAGAAACTCAGTCTAAAAATAGTGCCCATCAAGTACGAAACTATGTGCCATCAATTGGAGAAGCAGTAGGCTGTTGGAATTGCAAAAAAACAGGCGAAAGGAAACATTATATGCTCTGCGAGGAATGCGGCTTCTTGCAAGATGTTGACATGGAAATTGTAAATAACATGAAATATTATTAGAACTATTCAATTTTAATATTTGAATTATTTTTATAGAATTATTTCGATTTACTTAACTTCCCTAAGAGTTTTGAAATTGAACGACAGAAGCTAACACAACAATTTCGGAAGTTGCAAACTCTAGTGCATCCAGATAAATTCAGCAATAAGTAAGTGGGCGTTAAGTGTGCATAAAAGTTTTTTATTGGTTTTCAAAGTAAAGAAGTTACATTCAATTAAAGTTATATAAATATATTGCGGTAACTTTTAAGAAAGTATTGCTTTAAATCGGTTGTGACATAAAACAAAAGTAGGTGAGTTTATACCGGGGTTTTGAAGGCTTTACTTAAGCCTATTGGCCAATTGCGTTACCATATAATAACTCAAAGCAAATGTGATAGATCCAAAAAATATAAATTAAATTTGTCTAAAGCTATATTAAATTTAAACGAATTGATTAATTAAGTGTAACCGAACCCTTAACACATTCATACTCCCTAAATATTCGAGTTAGATAAAACAGTAAAATAATTAACTTTGATCATGAGAGTAATGACAAACATGCTCTAAAATATTCGCATGTAATTATTGTAGATAAACCTTATTTCAACTTTTCAAAAGTTTTTTTGGGAACTTTGTTAAAAATGGCGATCATAGCAGAGAATTTGAATAATCATAAAATCATAAAAATCTGCAGGTGTTAACGTTCTTTATTTTTCACTTTAAAAGATTTCAATTAACAGCACCAGATCGATCCTTGATTTAAATAATTCAGTAGGTATACAGAATTTTAATTTAACTAAAGTTGACACATATCGTTTTGAGTGACGCTTAAGGTAGCTTTCCACTGGACCAGTTAATATACTTGAGATTCAAGTAATTCAAGCAGTCTCAAGTAAGTTAACTGGTTTAATGATGTTAGTGGAAACATATTATGCAAATATCTATTATTTTAAACTATTATGGTTTAATATTGAATTTGATTTTTAAAGTCAATTATATGAAAACAACCATGCTTCTTAATAGAAGCTATCGTTATAAAGAGGTAATAGAGAGGTGTTTTGAGCAGTAGTTAATTATAACGGCAAAATTTTATTATTTAATAATTAATCGAATTTTTGGTTGACCAAACAGCTGTATCGTATATTGCCAAATACCCATCAGCAGTGGTGTTTTATAAATATTCCTTGTATTTAATAATTCATATATAATTTTTAGCGACCATTAAGTATCAAGAGTTGAACTTGTGCCCTACCAAATTTGAAGCTCAAAGTCAGTGTTAATTATCCAACTGAACCAAAGCCTTACTTGACTTGTATGTTCTAACTTGAAGTTATGTTAATTTTATGTAAAAGTATTATAGTTTTATTTAAGTATACAAAGAAAAATATTTATATTTAAATAATCTATTTAATTCGATGCTTCTTTAAATAAGTATTTATTTTATTTAATTTGTTTTCCATTATATTAATACATTTGAAATGTTCCTTTTATTATGTTGAAGCTATTTGAGCCAGTGCACTTGAGCACTTTTATTCTTTATTAACTCGAGGTATCTTCAAAACCCCTCTTTTAATTAATTTAATTAATTTTCATTTCTTTCTAGAACAACGCGAGAGCAAAACAATTCAGCCGATTGGAGTTCACTTATCAATAAAGCTTATAAGACACTACTAACACCTATTGATCGTGGTCAATATCTACTTAAAATGCAAGGACACGAGATTCCACAAGACAATAGTTCTATCAATAAAGAATTTCTAATGATTATGATGGAAAGAAATGAGGATGTAGAAGCTGCTAACTCTAAACAAGATTTGCAAAAATTATATAAAGAAATTGAAGTTGATCTACAAAATGAAATCACTAAATTGGAAAAATGTTTTGGTTTAGATGATATTAATGGTGCCAAGTCTGTGTTAGTGGAAATGAAATATCTATTAAGTATACAAAACAGTATAAAAAACAAATTGCAAACGTTAGTAGACGAATAATTATCAAACATAAGATATATGTAATTAATATATTTTAATATATTCAATACTAAAAATAACTTCAAATAAGTCATGTAAATTAGGTTATATATTCTTCTAAAAGTAATTTTTGTTTTTTGGCACTGAATGAAAGAATATTTATTATATGAATAAAATAAATTATATTATTTAAACTAAATTAATGTTCATTAAATTTATCTATAGTATTTGTCGTTACTATTTCAATGGCAATTTAACACGATAATGAAGTCATTTTTGTTATGTGATTTAAAGAAAAAGTGCAAATAAATGACGGAAATAAACAAATTGCAATGCCAGCGAGTTGGAAAAACAATAACAACACCACAGCATTTTAGTCGACACATCAGCTGCTCGGCAGTTTGACATAATGCGCGAAATAGAGCGCTTTTTATAGTCGGTTTGTAAATAAGTGAAATTAAAATGTTTATATATCGTGTTTATATATTGAAGTAATTTTATTAATTAATAAGTGAATAAAAATAAGCAAAAAATTAATTAAAATATTTTAGCAATACAAAAAAATTAATTGTGGATAATGATTGTGTTTTGATGTATTGAAGCATATTTTTTGCACTGGAAAATACAGAGGCAGGGTTGTTAATACTACCCCTTGTGGAATTTTATGGTAAGTATATGGAAATATATACAGTTATAAATTATAACAAAGTAAATATATACTTTATAATATATTTATATATGCAATTTTTAATAAAACATTTTTTTTTAAAAATAATTTATTTACTTTGAAATAAATAAACTAAAACAGTTTTGCAAAAACATATTTATAAACGGTTTTAGTTATAACTTTCTTAAAATATTAATAAAATAATAATTAAAATAATCAGCAGTAGGATTCTATATTCCTAACGAATAAAATGTACTCAACTTTTCATCAAATAAAAAAGAATTTATTTGCATTGAATACTTACATCTCAATATTGGGATTTTTTAATCCCTCTTCAACAGCTTAACTCAATTGTCTGGTATATTAGAGTCCCAAATTTAAATTAAATTTTAATTTTAGAAAATCACTAAAATTATTAACATTAAAACAATTATCAAATCACCCAAATTCACTAGCACACGAACTGTTATCAGATGTAAACCATTTACGTCGACTACGAAGATTTTCTACGTCGGATTTGCATACTAGGGACGTGTGCGAATTAGGCTAAGTTGATGCTAAATCAAATGGGAGATTTTTTGGGATTTTTTGCAATGCACACATTTAGCCATTTATCAACACCTATCGAAACATCACTACATTATCGGCACAACTTAGAATTTCCCTCATTTAGAACGCAACTTAGCCTAACTCGCATACGACCTAGAACCCATAATACGTGAATCGTATTGTAAATTCACTGATATTGAATATTTATAGCCAACTACTTATTCATTATTAAGTTAATTTTTAGCGGTGTTTACTACTAAATGTCTCGCATATGTCTTTATATCATTTTTTTAACCATATACATAAGTAATACTGATTGCACTTTTAAAGGTGATACTTACAAATAAAAAATTTGAAAAAAAAAATTGACGCAAATTAAAATCACAGTAAGGTGAAGTTGTTATACCGGTGATCCTAAGGATCCGCTTACACCTATTAGCCCATTGTGCATATAGAAGTCGAGCGTTTGAAAATCACATTCAACTATTCGCAAATCCTAAAATGCTTTCTGATCCTTTTTTTAATTTTATTTGTTATTGCATTGTATTTTTAATCTAAATAATTTCTCTGTTCCTTAAGCATTCTAAGAAGGCACAGGGCATCCTCTACCACATCTTCTATTTATCTACTCAGTTTTTACTAATTTCGTCGTGATTTTATTTTTATAAAATTTATTTAAATTGTATATTTTTGCGACAATATGTCATATTCTTTAATTATATGTGTAAAATTAATTAGATATACATATCAAAGCAATAAATTTATTAAAATGTGTACTGTACATAAACTGAACAAACTCAGCGTTCACATAAGCAGGCAGATAATGAGATGAATAGATTTCTCATTAGTGCCAAATACTCATTAAAATTATATTCTCCTTCTTTTTTTATTTAATTCATTATCGACAGAAAGTAGTACACTAACTTGTAAGCTCATTCGCTATGCGATCGTTAGTTATATACAACTAGCGACTAATATTAGACAACTAATATTAGATAAGTACTGAAAAACTAGGTTATTTTATTGTTAAATCTACTACACAAAATAAAGATCTTAAATTTAATAGTACTCGACTTATGGGCTTGAGGAACTGTTTGGTTATTGGTATAAATACAAAGTTTTAAGCTCGTTTTTTATGTTTTTATTTGTATTAGCTCTAATTGGTTGTAGAAACGGGATGGTCTATATTCTAGAACCACTTGTGTACACAGATCCCAATTAGCGACCATCCCTCCTTATCTAATCGGGTACAACAATAGTAATAGACAACAGAGTTCCTACATGAAGAAACATTTGTAAATCATCAGTGAATCGTCTTTTGTTTATAGTGTGTTATTGATATTGGGGCATCTGTATTCTGACGTCAGAGCGTTTAGTTCCACCTAGAAATTAAAGTTGGCATTTATACAGAGATATTATTTAAGATTGTATTAGTTTAAGACATTGTATTTAAGTTTTTATTTAAGATTGTAGTAGTAGGATATGAACCCAAAAAATTTCATTCTCTTAGTCCATAAGGAAATTGCCAATCCAATATATGTGTGCGTTGTTAAAATGAAAATAAATATAATAGTAAAATTATACATAAACTAACAGTTGTCAGTTATCAATTTATAGATAAACCATCCACAATAATGCGATCAGTTGTCCGTTGAGGTCTATCTGTCTATCCTTTTGTGACATACCTAGAGACATAGACATAAAGTATAGTAGGGCGTCCAGATTTTTTTTACCATTGCATGTGCTTTTAGAGATTTTACGGTGTCTAAACATTTTCCTTTCGAGTGTCACATTTATAATAAACCTTAGTGGACTAAGGGGAATTTAAACATAGATATCTAATACCTAATTTTTTTTTATTAGTATAGTCTTATATGTAGTAGAGATTTCAGACAGCAATGGTTGCGATTTATCTAAATTCTATAATCATAAGTTTAATATCACAGCTAACTTATGGGTACATTAAAATTAATTTTTGTATATTTGTTAAATGATAACACAAATAGTATTAAATATTGTTTATATATATTATAACAGACCTTCTCTATAATACCTTGGATTAGAGGGTGTTATACTGTCTTTTCGTTTTTGATTAAAATATGACACTTTGTAAAATAGTTTAATTAATGTTTGCTAAATGTATTTTCTCACACTATTTCAACGTGCTTTTTATTATCCATTAAAGTGCTTCCCAATAAATATTATTGTTTACATTTGCCGAGAGAAAATTAGTATTAGTTTGTTCATTGCAATAATATTTATATTCTCATTTTCTCAAAAATAAATATCAAAATTAATTGTTTAAATTATACTCATTATCAGGTGTGAAAACAATATTACGCTACATATGGCAATTCCAACTGGAGATCTATTTTGGTTAGATCGGGCTTTGATATTAAATACTATTAGTATATTTGTATTTCAAATAAAGTAAGTTTTAGATACATTTATATATGTTGTATTTAATTAAAATTTGAATATATTTCTGGTATATTAAAAATGAATTTTGGTTGGCGAAACTAATTTTTTAATATATTTTTTTGTTTGAATTAATTAGGTTAGATAGGGATTCCAAAATATCCTGCAAAATATCCGTAGTTTTAGATACATTTATATATGTTGTATTTAATTAAAATTTGAATATATTTCTGGTATATTAAAAATGAATTTTGGTTGGCGAAACTAATTCATCAAATTTAAGATCAAGCAAAGGTCAGGTTAGGTTAATCTAGTTGACTGTAAATCACTCATAGGGCATTCGGTCCCCTTCGAAACCAGATAGAACCTCTATGTATTATAAAGTTTTTTTTGCGATTTTAAGGAGTGGTTGAGTTTTATACCTGCTACTGAGGTACTAGGTATTTTTTAAAGACTTTTTTGAAATATGTTTTAGGCTTAATTTTAGTATGATTCGAACCTAGATCCTGACAGAGTAATTAAATTAAAACAAAAGATATTTGTGGTTTCAGAAGTAGCCGAGTCTGAGTTCTAAAACTACTCGTCTGTATAGGCGATCAAGTACCGCGTAATAGTCACACTCTAGGTATATATAAAATACAAGCTGCCACAAAAACAATAATAGAAATAGTAGCAACAGAAATCGACTGTAGGAGGACTTCGGAATTGTAATGAGTCAATGGACTCAGTGGGACTTTTTTCGCAACTACCGAATTTGCACACAGGGTAAATAGACAGCATTTGATACAGCTACAACTTTGTTAATCCTATCTTTAACAGCATCGCTAGGGATTCGGGGTTAGCACCGGTGCCACCTAACCTAGTACGTTAGTAACCTAAACTTGTAGTAGTTTTACAACTTACAAGTAAAACGAATTATGCCACGTTAGTATATGTATATATATTGATATAATAACTGTAGGACGCAATCAGTATAGAAAATTCAATCCAATCAATCACATATAGTATTTGATTAAAAGTAATATCCATTGATAATCTTTAATAATGTTAAATAAATCAATTAATTGCAAAAGGACATTAGTTAAAAACTTAGAATCCTTTTACCCGCTAATTCCTAGAATGATTTTACTATAATTTCCGACTTTAATACCAACATACAAAGGTTTAATATGAAATCATAAATGTTAGACTTTTACTAATGTCAATTAGTAACTAAAATTGATAAATGACGATAATCAAAGAGTGATAACATCTTAATTGTAGCATTTACGTTAAGTCGTAATGACTGTGTCATTTTTAAGTGTTCATAAAGTTGTAAATATTGTGTATTGCGCTCAGCTCATTCTAGTTTGTTTGGATTTTTGATTAAATGATTTTATTTATAAGAACGAAACTGAATTGTTTAAAAATTTGTTTTTCTTCTGCAATATTCGCTTAGCTTGTTAATAATATATTTCTTTTTAGTAGTTTGCTGACTGTTAACACGGCAAAACGTGCTCCGCGGAATTGGCACAAGCATTGGACAAAAAATTTTAAATAAAAAATATTAACCATAAAAAAAATTATTACATAAATAAAAACAAAAGCTAATTAAATAAAGAGATAATGTGCAAAAAAATAATTTTAACAATTTTATTAATAAATTTTCTGACAGTCTGCAATGTAAGTGCTTTCCCGAATAATTTATCGAAAGGTAAGGCGCGTGATATCAATGATGATTTGGAAGTTAATCCTGATGGAGAGAATCCAATGCCCATCATTGGCATATTGACACAAGAAGTGAGCAACTTAATTCTACGTAAATATCCGGGTCAAAATTATTCGAGTTACATTGCAGCTTCTTATGTGAAATTTGTGGAAGGTGCCGGAGGCCGCGTTGTGCCGATTTGGTGAGTATCTGGTTTCGCAGATAAAATGCGATTGCTAATTAGTAGAATATTTATTATAAATGAATTTTTTATAATTAATTTTGTTTATTAATAAATTTAAAATCGAAATTTTTAATGTTTAACATGTCATTAATAATCAATAAAAATTATATTGGAAAGTTCTTGAGTATATGAGTGGAATGTATTTTTACAAAACAAAATTTATTAATAAATTTTTTAATAGGAAAATAATAAAAAATAAATAATGTTTATTTTTAACATTTTTATTAAAAAAAAGTACATATTGTAATATACTCTTATGGACTAAAAACTAGTATAAGGTTTGAAGTTTTCGATTGAAACGCTTTTGAGATATGTTATTGACTTAATTTTTTTTTTATTGGAGTTGCCTTAACAGTCTAGTTGTATCTTTAAATTCTTTTTTTTTATTAGAAATATTTTTTGACGGAAAATTATGTTCATTACGATAATTTAAATTATATATCTTAAAAGAATATTTATATGTACAACACTTGTATTATGTTAAGTAAGTCATCCTAAATATGGAATAAAAACGATTAATATAAAACGTTTTATTAAGCAGAAGTTTTGTGGCCTATAAGATATAGCAAATTCTTAACGAGAGACATACTAACCTTCATTCCTTTAAATAAGAAGTTTCGTACGATTTTAACCATTTGCTAAAAATATGTTATTCAATCTCCACTGTACTAGGAGTGCAGAGCCCTAAAAGGAGTGAAATTTAACGATTAAAAATATAAAAAATTATTAATTAATTTAATTATTCTACAGCTGATTTATGATTTCATACTAATATAACAAGTGAATTTATTAATGAGCAAGTGAACTTAATTAATTAAAACTAATAAAAAATTTTGTTGTTGTAATTTCACTTCTATTCTATTAAATCTCTCTATTGAAAACAGTAGTTTATATTAAGAGTTTAAGTTTTTTTTTTGAAAATGAATTAAAATTATTTTATAACTTTTTCGGAAATTTTAAATTCAAACCCTACAGACTGATTGTTTGAACAAATCATTTAATATAAATATTTTCAAAAAAGATAATTGCTGATAGATGTTTGAAAGTATTTAGATAGAATAGAACAATGAATGGAATAGAACAAAATGAATATGAATAGAACAAAATTGTGTTTACATATAATAAATGCTGTTAAGTAGCTGTCATGAATCCTTTCCTAAAATTTTGCAGTTCTATCCATTATCTTCAGATTTGAATCGAGGCATGAAATACAAACCCCCTAAGTTTCTTATCCTATATATTAATAATACTTCTCCTATTGCATTCTACAATGGTTATCCATAATATCAATAATTTAGTCATAATATTTTTATTATGTCTATCATAATAGGAATTTATGTTCATAAAAAATTGTGGAATCGTAAAAATAGTTTTTATGTGAGCTAACATTTCTTATAATACTTAACCTTCAACTTTCACACTTGTCATTGCTCAATGCATATAATTGATTTATTATCATTTATTATTTCAAACTGATTGTAACGTTCAATTAAATTAAAATATATTACATACCCAATAGATAATAGTTCGTTTTTTTTCTTTGAAAAATATAGAATCATTGTTTCTTTTTAATAATTTTATCAGTTACTATTGGAAGCCTTTGTTATAAAAAAAACACATAAATATTATCAATCCTAATAAAAAGTGCAAAATTAATCGTATTCATTCAATATATTTTAAATAATTACTTTAGTGTTATAATTTTTTTTAATTCTATGTTGTTAGAAATATTGTTAGTTATTCTCTACATATAGATTTTTAGTTCTTTAGACTGATTTATTTTCACAATTTTTTTCAAAACAAAATTTAATAGACTTTGTGTAATATAAGCCTTGCCTAATGCTAGTAGAGTAGTTGATACTAGAGATAGATGAGATGGCTTCCTCCATTTTAGACTTATCTTCCACTTGCTTCGATCAGTAAGGTTGAAGTTTTGACGCTATATAGGCTTTTCAAGTTAGACTTTGGAGATTTCTATATTTAAGCGAAAACTGATTTAATACTGACTCAATATCAATACTTCAATCAGTAAGTTTCAATATTCACATATAGATTATATGTGACCCAATATATAATCGGTTTGTATATATTGACAGAGGCCCTATGCTCCACTGGGAGATGAGAATGACAGAAGAAGATATTAAAGGATATAATACCATCTAGTGACAAAAATCGAAAAGATTTTTTTCAGTTTCATTTAATACTTTCCCAATTCTAATTAAAATTTTTCTTTTTTTTCTTTGATGTGTATAATCTATTTGAGTTTAGTATTTAAAGTTTAGAAGTTTAGTCCTAGTAGTTTATAATAAATCCCAACAAACATTTATTATCATTTAAATATCATCAGTTTTGATTTCTTAACCATTTGTGGAGCATCATTTGTATTTGACAAAGATCGTTTCCATATAATATTATCATAGGTGATCCATTTCTGTTCTCCTATTTTTATACGATTACAAAAAAGTTTGATTTCATTAGGTTTTTACATATACTTGTTAATGGATATTCGACTGATTTCTCTTTGTTTATTAAAAATTAAAATGATGAAAGAAAGAATGGTGGTTGATCTTTTAAGAATCAACCATGCTTCTACTAAAAAACAGTGATGCCTGTGAGGTTTACATATCTGTTTATAATGAGTTTCTCCAAAGGTTATGTAGCAATACGACAGCTGAATAAAAATTGGACTACTTGTGGACTAATATTCGTGCTTATATACTATTTAAATTATTCGAATAGTTCGAACTGTTCCGGTCTTAAATTTATATTTATAACATATAAACTAATGATCATAGTTGAAGACTATTAAATATTCAAAACCAATTTTAATTAATATATAGTGTTAAATCAAGTTTTTTTAAAGAAAAATTTTATTTAATTGAACTTCGTGTTATAATAATTTCCGCATAGTACCTACACGTGCTGTGCATTAAACATATTTATATATATATTCGTACATGTAATACCTATATTCTCAATTGATATACGAGGGTAGTTTAATCATTTAGTTACTTTTTATATAAAACATATTTTTTTCACAATAACCTGTTTTATTTTTCAACATAGTCTCCTCTTAGCTGAGTATATCACAACAAGATAAGCTATATATATCAGTCCAGCGTTTTCAAATAGTTTTATTTCTGTCAAAAAATAGGTTTCTTCGTGGTCCAGTTTTTATACAATATAATAAGTGATTCATTTCTGATCACGTGTTTCTTAAAGATTGCAAAATAGGTTGATTTGGTTTCATTTTTATACTTTATTTGACTCAAGTCTTTGATTTCTATTGTCGGTGAATATAAACTACTACATATGACGCAACTTACTTAATTTTTTACAATGGTTGAATAATATATAGTAATTGAGCACTTTTGTCTTTACTAAATGCAATGAAGTTCAAAAAGTCACTGAATTATCATACTTTCCCAGTTCTATATTCTATATATATTACCCGAGCTTATATAGCTATGTCATCTACAGAATTTTTTGATAATAAAATAGTGGAAGTTAATTACTGAAAAAAGATTTGAAAAAGTTTTGCTTACAGTTTCAATTTTATAGAAAACTTTATAATGCACTGCTATCATAATTAACGTTAAAGTGAATATTTTACTTAATATGAATTATTGTATAGAGAGGGGTTTTGAATAGAGATAGATAGATACAATAGAGGTTCAACCCAAGGTACCTGCAGTCTGAAAAAATTATTTACGAATGATTAAATACAAGCATTATCTCAAAGACCACTAATGATGGATATTAGGCAATACTTGAAACAGCTGTATGGCCAGACAAAAATTCAGTTAATTAAAATAATTAAAAAAATTTTTGTTGTCGTAGTTCACAAGTGTTCGAAACCTCTCTAGTAAACTTCATAGTAATAGCTTGTAGTAGAAATGGCAAGCCTCCATTCTTAAGTTAGTTTCAAACTATTCATTCATGCTATTTCCGTGTCATGTAAAAAATATCAGATATTATCAGTTGAAATTATTGTCTCCTATACTTTATACAATATTTAAAAAAATCCCCTGCAATATTAGTTAATATATTTTTATATATATGTATATTTTTTTATAGTTGATAAGTTAAAACTGCATTCCTAATCGCGAGTTAATCACTGTCATTTTTCATTTATCGACAGCATAAATAAAATATTTAAATTATTATTCAGAAAACTGTTAAATATTGAAGAAAGGTTTTTTACATCTAAAGAAATACCTTTTCTTAATTACAGATCAACTACATTTATGGTGACTCATTCAGTATTATAATTAATCTTAGGGTTTACGCTAGGTCAACGATCTCAGTAAGTTGGGATTTACTTACGTCGAATAGTCTACTGTGATAATATTAGTATTAATGACATATTAATAAATAACAATATTTAAAAATTTATATTCAGATATCAACAAATCTAAATAGCACACATTGAATGTCTGTAATGTTAATCTGTAATTGTGGTGTTCGGAAATAGTTTATAGATGCAAAAACTATTTATAAATATTATTTGTAATGTATTCACCTACAAATGCGCAAAACGTGTGCATGGGTGAGAGTTGGATAACCGAGCTAACCCATAGACCTGATAGATCCGTAGCGATACCAGATTACAGTTCTTCAAGAAAATGGCGATACAGATTATTTGTATCATTAATGAATTTTAAGAGATAGTTCAAGCCAATACAGAGACGAAGTTCCACCCTTCAAAATTAGTTGCATAAACCAAATTTAATCGAGTTCTTGTGAGAGTTAGACAGAAAAACAGAGACGATGTTTAAAATCACCTTCCTTGTATGTCTACATTCCTCACTGCTGGTGATGTTTAGTACAGGCGGAAGACAATGCCACATAACGCTCAGTTAAGAATTCTAAGAATAAATAAGAAATATATTAATATAAAGGTCAAATTTATAACTTATTTTTAAATTGGTACAATGGATATATCTATAAAAACTTGA